AATCTTATTTACCTCCTAGGAGAAAACGCTCTCCAACGCAGACACTCAAAGCCTCCATAAGTTCACAGGAAAGACAGAAAAATATAAGATAGAAAGCAGACTGGGGAAAGAGATCCACCCAACAGCTGTATCCATGTCACGTATCTCATTTCTATTTAACACTGTTGCACAGGAAACTTTCCAAAAATGAAGATGCTCTCAGTTCTACTTCTGCTGAGTGCCCTCCTGGGTGCCCACACAGTGCCCTCCCGGCGGCCCAAGTGCTACAAGAGGGTCCTACATGACCACAGCTGTCACAGCATTCCCAAAGGCATGGTGAGCCTCCGGCAAGTTGATGACAACCTGCAGGATCACTTTTGGGAAGGAGAAGGCTGCGAGACCATCTGTTACTGCAACTTCAAGGAACTGCTCTGCTGTCCAAAGTAAGATTCATAGAACGGCCTGGGTTGAAAAGGCCCTCAAAGATCATCTAGTTTCAACCTCCTTGCTGTATGCAGGATCATCAACCCCAGACCAGGCTGCCCAGAGCCACATCCAGCCTGGCCTTGAATGCCTCCAGGGATGGGGCATCCACAACCTTCTTGGGCAACCTTTTCCAGTACATCACCACTCTCTGAGTGAAAAACTTCCTCCTAATATCTAACCTAAACCTCCCCTGTCTCAGTTTAGAACCATTCCCCCTTGTCCAACCAAAGATTACACTGATTGCATAGAAACTCCAAGGGTTCTGTACAGCCACTTCTACCATTTTTCAGTTTCCACTGCTGGAATAAGGTACCATTTTAGGGAAGTGTATCTCTTCAGGTGGCTTGAAACTGTATCAAGATGTATCCGATTACCTGACACACTAGCAGTTTTCAACGTTTGTTTTTCAGAGCCTCACCCGGGACATGCTCAGCATACTTCGCAAACCTGCACATCCCAACAGAGGGGAATTTGGCATTTAAATTATCCAACTTCTAACTTTTTTTTGCCAGTAACTTTGATCTAAGTTCAGTCTGAGAACTACAGATCCTTAGTTGCAGCACTTTGCAATGAAAATGTTTTCAGGACCATCAACAAAGCCATTTGATATCTGTTACACAACAGAGGGCTACGATGCTACTCTAAGGCATGTGCAGATGTGCCAACCCAATGAACGATTCTTTAAAGACAGCTGCTTAGAGCAGTAAAGCAAATGCAGGGAGAACAGGTCCACAAATGCCCGCAAGGGAGAAAAAGATTTAGTTGATTTCTCCTGCTGGCTGACAAGAGCAGGACAGCAAAATTCTCATGAAATGTGGGGTATTCGCTGTTTTACACAAAGAATGTGCAGCTTTCCCCAGGAAATTTAGATAAAACATCAACTTGACAACTTACTAATAGTTTAGGGACATTATAACGTGATAGCTTTACATAGACAAGCAGAAATGACTTTCATACAAGCTCCTCTTGTCCAACATTCTCAAGTCCCCTAAAATCCAAAAGGCAAATTGCAGCATTCTTGTACAGGAATGAATTTGAGCCAAGTGGCAGTGACTCCTAAAAATAGGAACTTCACATTCAAACAGAGAGCAGGGTATAAGTAATTGTTTCACCACATACTGTGCCCTCACAGTGAAAACACTTCAGGTTTTCAGCTTTAACCACAGAGCTTTGAACAGCTCCAGAAAGCCTCTTACTTGGATATAAATACATAGGGAGGTCTTTCTTCACCCACCTTGATATAAAGAATATCTACTCCGTAGGTCTGCCCATAGAACTAACTGCACTAAATAGTATGCGTACACTAACCAGAATTCTTTTTTTTAATTTTATAATATCAAATATTTGATAAGCTTTACCCTCCCAAAGCTACAATACCATGCTAGAACTCTGGCACACTGCTCAGTCAATGAAAATTTTGCTGATGTTTCTGAAACAGGCAATCAGAGGAAAAAATATACAGTGCTCTCATACAGACCTGCAGCTGCATTTGCATTGCTGGAAGGGCATCCCATAAACACAGCGATCACACACACATCCTAGCAAAACCTGGAAAAAAAAAACAGCCTTGGAAATGCATAACACGTTAAAGCTCTCATAATTATTTAAGTATCTCATATGTTTCAGGGAGATTTTCTTTGGATCGAAGATATCTTTCGTGATTCCCTGTAACAGCGAGTGATCAACACTGAGCCTGTCACTGAGGACAATGGGCATCATTCCACAATCACAAAAATACGCTTTCAAGAGAAAAAACAAAGCCAGCAACAGCCAAAACAAAACAAATTTCCTCTCTAAGCACACTGTAGAAACTATCTTTCTGCTGGAAAAAAAACTTCCTCTCTATGCTTTGTGAAATATGTAAAAATTTCTCCTTTTGGATATGGTAGCTGCCTTAATTAGCTCCATATGGATGTGAAAGACTGTACCTGCTCATAATTGTCCCTGCATTTATCTCCTAGCAAAAAATATATAAACATATGTGTGTGAGTGCACCCTTTTAATAACTACAACATTCTCAACTAATTTCCAAAAAGAAACATCAAGGTTAAACCTTCATGTGGCTAAGAATGACTCTTGCTGGAATCCACTGCAGCAGCGCAGCTTCCTATTGCTTTATTGTTAGCACTGCTTTAAGGCAATGCTAGTCAGTATCTGGCACTTCTGCACACTCCCACTTCTATTTGGGTGCCTGCAAAAAACAGAAACCATTAATTTGTATTACCCATATTTGAAAATTCCACTGGAAAAAAGAGTCAAAATTCATATTAATAGTACTAAGGTAGGTGTAAGTGATAATTATGTCTCACTCGTTAACTGCATCTGAAGTCTTGAAGCGTTAAAGATTGAGCTTTCAAAACACTAATAACAGCAGTGATAGAACATATGTATGTATATTCAGAGAGACATAGAAGGAGAATGGGACAGTAACATGGAACATGTAGTACAAATGTAACTGTCTTGCCCCTTGAACTAGTGCTCTGCTCACCTAGGGACATGGTTAGTGGGAACAGTGGGGATGGGTTGATGGTTGGACTAGGCAATCTTAGAGGTCTTTTCCAACCTTGACTCTATGATAATAACCTTACGACACCACATTGTGGAAACTGCTACCATCAGCACACCAAAGTTATTTCACATATGAACATGAAATAGCACAAAGACTGTTTTACTTCATCTGTTAGTAAATAATGCTTGGATATGCGCAGTGGTAGGTTAACTATACATAACCAATAGTAAGAGTTTCAAGTAAATCTGCATTTACTATTTTTGCCAAGTAATTTTTAGACAATTGAAACAAACAGCTTGTACCATCAGGCTTTTAAAGCCTGGTTCATATAATTACTCCTGAGTCATTTGGGCTTCTAATAAAATAATCAATGAAGGACGATAGAAGGTGGGGAATCTGGCAACTCACTGTCAAAATTACCAAATTCAGTGTTCTACTAAGAAAACATACAGTATCCACTTTATGGAGGACTGCAAAGTCCTCCATAAGCTTCTAATAGCAGTGAGGACATGTAGTTTCTGTGGGTTGTGCCATCTACTTTCCTTGCCAATCAGGTAGTGTATATCTGCCATTCACAGCTTTCCAGTGCAACAGCTACAAAAATAAGGCAGATGCAGAGGTGGGTAGTAAAGTCAGTAGATGATTTTCAGTTACTTCCCTTTTACCATTATTGACGTGGAAAAATACATAATCCGATGAAAAAAAATGTTTTGCCACTTCCTACATGCAGCAGCATAGGGCCACAGACCTATTTCCAATATAAGCTCGTTCTTGGTTTCTCTCCTCACTCCCCTCCCCTCCAGAAAAAGCTTCTACAGCCCCTGCCAAATCTATGCAGGAACATCCATCCCTGTTCGCCATCCTATAAGAAAGAAAAAGCCTTTATCCTTCAGATGTTCAATTCAGCACTGGGTTCCCCGGCTGCTTCTCCAACTAATGCTGTGTAGATAACAAATGTAACTTGTGCAAAGGATACTTCATAAACAACTTTGCAGCCATTGCCATGAAATGAGTACTGAAACATCTTCCCAAAGAATTATCAGCTTTACCCTGCACCAGCCTGGTATCACCAACCAGCTTGAACTTTGGCCAACAGTGCAAAACCCTAGCGTGGAAAGATACATGACACTGTAAGTGAAAGAAATTAGGGTACTTATAGCTCCTGAGAAGGAAGCCAGTTTGAGTTTTGGGTTCAATATCATTCAGTTTTAAGCAATGGAGTGCCACAGGTCAAAGAGCAAAATGGAGTATCTTGGTCGCAGTGATGTCTTTCAAAAAAACTTCACAAGGCTAACACTAGCAGATTAGAGCACAGAAATACCACTTTCTCATTTTTCAGCACATTTGAAAAAGAGCTTTTGAAAACCTGCTAAGGTCAGAAGCTGCAATGAATGCTAACTGAATAAACTAAAGCTGTGTCTTCCTCTTCTTTAAGCTTCTTCTTCTGCCTTTTCTTCAGCCAATGCACACAGCTTAAAGCAAAAGGAAACCGTTTCAAAATCACGTTTCATGTACCGCATGTTTAGATTAACACAAAGCTAACAGTGAAAATACAAGAAATCATACATAACACTGTCTTTAACATCACAGACTTTACTAAGATACCAAATTAAAATAATATTTTGCTCGTCTTACTTTTAATGTGTTGTTTTTAAACAGGTCTGAGTTAACGCATGCAGTGAACAAGAAATAGCATGCCTAATAGAAGATACCAAATCAGTCATTTCTGCCCAGCTAATAACTGCAACTGTCAATTAAAGCCTTTAACCTCACGAAAAAGAGCCCACTGCAAAATCTACCACAATTCAGGGATTTTTGCTTGCTTTGTTCTTTTCTTTTCTTTTCTTTTCTTTTCTTTTCTTTTCTTTTCTTTTCAAGACAGCACTGCATTGCGAGAGCTTGAAGTACATTCATAAATGTATCCTTGGTACACTTTAATTGAAGAATATTTTTATACCATTACATAGGTAGTCAAAGCTTAACTACTAAGCACAAGTAACACGCTGAATAAGTTAGACACACCCACTTGAGCAACAATATCAGTAATATTTATTTAAAATAGTTTGTGAGGAAATTTGTTTCATAAGAGATGGTTCTCAAATCATCAAGGTTATGAAAAAATAAAACAGAGAAACTCTCTGGGGACAAAAGGTTACAAAGAAAGCTTTTGCATATCAACAAAAACCCTCAGTCTTTTGATTTGTGGCCTGAGTCTCAGTCCCAGTCTTCCCTGCCTAATGAACACTGCTATCCATCTTTAGGTCTGGTTTGTTCTTGTCATTCTTGACCGAGTAGATGAAATACGCTAAGGTGTCCTTTTCATTCACTGGAATTGTCCTAAAATGGCAGCCAATTATCTACAAAGAAAGAACGCAAGGAAATTAAACACTTATATGCAGAAACTTTATAAAACTACATTAAAAGCTTGATCAAGCAACTTAGGATAAAGGAAACCCTGCCTCCCTTTGAAAATCTTTAGTATCATACGTAAAGTATGAAAGGAACTGCTATCACTGAGTAATCTGAAACAAATACAGCACAATTTCTCAAGTAAAATGCCCAGAAAATTATCAGAAAAGATTTCTCCCAACAAGCATAAGAGTATCTTTACATCTGTGCAGTCACTCCTTGAACACAGAGCATATAACATCTGCAGACTATCACGAACCTATGGCACACAGATGAGCTACTGCTCATTACTCAGGCTGAAGGAGGTCTGTATCAAGTTGTGTACAAAAAAAAGGAAGACCCAAATACGAGAATTTAAGAAAGAGCATGAAGATTTAGCTCTTTGAAACAGGGGTGTCAATGACAAAAATTCACAATGCTGTACATGCTAAATATGTCAACTTCTACAGTCACTAAAGCTGAAGTTCGAAGTTTTTGTCCCTTCAGCACAAAGGACTGTCAGTTTTATAAGGAAATACTCAGATGGACTGACTGCCCCAGTCTGTTTTCCAGCTTTTTGCAGAATACTTTTTTTGGACTAAAATTAGCGAGAGGAAGTGAGAAATTGATCTACCATTGATCTACCACAAGGCACAAGCATAAATACTTAATATAATTAGCAAGTTAGAAAGCTTTTCAAAACGTACCTTGGGAAAAAAAAAAGAAAACTAAACAGAGACAGTTTGACAGAGCCCTTTAAATTGGACTTATAAGTAACGGCTAGCAGAAAATCCCTTGTACATTCAGACAAGTAACAAGAAATCATATGAACTGTAAATGACAGTAAATTCTGCAGCTACAGCTCACAGGGACCTTTAGGTCAATCAAACAAAGCATGTGACAGAAGCTTTGCCTGTTCACACGGAGCAGCACATGAAACATAAGTTACTGGAAGCATCTCATGAGATGTACCTAAAGCAGACCCTTAGAAATGCCAGTTCTACAGAACAAAAGTTTTTGCACTTTTTCAAATCAGTTTTGCTAATCCAAGAACTGGATGCATCCGTGCATCAACTCTCACATTAAAAAAGAAGAATTATTTAAAATACTTAATTGTAGAGGCAGCAGCATTGTATTTCTTCTACAGCTTAGCCCTGGAGAGCTCTCACACATTTAATAACCTTGGCATTAATCTGCGCTAATTAGTAGAGAGATCAACAAAATGTCTGCACTGAAGTACAACTGAGCATTACAGCACAAAAATGAAAAGGTGGCAGCTATCCCTCCCTGCTGAAATGATCACCAGTGCTATCACATATTTGTGCCTTTGCAGTGCAAAAGAAGCACTTTCAAATTGCACTCCCATACAGAAGAAATGCATACATCTGCACTCACATATAGCTTAAGTGCTTTTAGAAGTATTGACAATAAAAAAAGAAATTCATGAACTTCTATTTTGTGATAATACATGCGCAGTTTTTAAACGAGATTAATGATCAATAGAAAACTTTTTCAGGTTTCTGCACTTTCTATGTATGAACAGATGCCTATATCAATTGGTTTTTTTTAAAGCCAAGCATGATCTTACTTACTAGAACTTCACTGCTACCTCTCAATTTCTAATTATCATCAGTAGGATACTTAAGCTGAAGATGTGGCTGATGCACAGGTAAGAAATCCATGGTTCTATGACATCCAAAGATGCACAGGTCACCTCACTGTTCAGCTCACTGTTTTCAAGGAGCACACACACACTTCTGAAAGTTAAGAGTCCCTTCTCTGCAAAGAGCTCTTACTTCTGCTTTACTTGGCTCAGGAGATGTGGCAGTGAAGGAAGCTAGATAAGCAGCTCCTTTTTGCTCTCTTAAAACCCAGATTATATATGCGCTTCATGCAATGATCAAATTGTACAGCAAAAAAGCCAACACAATGCATGCCACGGTGAATTGCATTTTCTATTGTGGAATAAACACTCATACGTACTTCAACAAGCTGTGCTTTGTTAAGTCCCGGTCTGGTCTGTAGCTTGAAGTGTCTTTTGTACCTTCGAAGTGTGTTCACTTGTAACTGATATAAATCAACCTAAAAGAAAAGGAGGAAAGGGAAAGAAAAGCAACCTGATGTAATTGATAAGGTTTCCCTCATCATCTTGGAAACTTGCACATACACAGCCATACTGTCAGCTCAGTAGAGCTCATTTTGACAGAAAAAGTACCACTTCACACCTTCTAGGAGAAAGAAAAATCATTCCATTTCAGCTTCAGAGCAGTTTAACGTTACTGAGTATGGTTCTTTCTCCTGTTAGCAGCAGACAATATTTAGAACTTACAGTACTATAATCTTCTCTGTTTTTTTCTTTTATTGTTGCCATTTGTTCTCCATTTTGAGCGTGATGACACAAAGCACAGTAACAAATCTCATAACATCTATGAAGATTCTGATTCAAAAGGAGGTCTCTGCATTTCATTTTCAGCCATGAAGTTTTTCACGAGTTACATGTAAGATATAGCAGCATAGCTGCACCATGAGACAGCATGCATTATAACCAAGAAAAAGTCTAGCACATGAAGGTTTTGGCTTGAAGTGCGAGGAAAAAAAAAAGCCAGTCTGGTCTCCAAGAATCTCTCTGCTACAATAAGCACAACCAAGGAGTTACGTACACAGGCACAGTTGCCCGAAACTATTTTTCAGTGTGAGCTGACAGTTCACAGCATTGCACAAGCTCCTCACAGGGATATAAATACACAGTCTCAACCCAGTACTCGCTCAGTTTTTAATCCCATGAACTCAGATCAACAGCCACCTCCCAGCAACAGCTTACCCTCCCAACTCCTTGACAGTATAAAAGTTTAATCAGAAGACTGAGGAGGAAAGGAAGCTAAGAAAGCAGGTTGAACAAGAACTTCTGTTAGGTCAATTGCAATTACAGCAGCGTTCTCCAAACTTCCTGCATTAAAGACTGGTTAAGGCATTAACTCCTATTTTAAAGTCATCTAGCAGCCTCAACTATTCAATATTTAAGGCAACAACAGTGCCAGTGCACTCTTGGTGACCTGACCAGACTTGATACAATCCTGCCTTATATGTTAAGGGATGGGCATGCCCTAATACTCAAGATAGCAGCACTGTGGAAATCAGCAGCACTGTGGAAATCAGTGTCTCTTAGTATGAATCACGAAACAGCTTCTGCTGGAAATTAGAAGGCCCTACTGGTGGTCAGCAGCGAACTGGACAGCAATTCTAAATCAAGGTGGTCAGGGGCTGGTGGGCATCTAAGGCACAGAGCACCACATGGAAAGTACATGCTGCTGTTGCCCCAAAACTCTCCACAAATACCTACTCTCCTGTACTACTACCACTGAAAATACACTTATTTTCTCCTGTACTAAGGATATCCATCAGTTGTGTCGTACTTTATTCTTGTCTGAGCAAATAAAGAGGCAAAAGCTGCAGTTACAACTCTGCCAGAGAGCTACCTTAAGCCACGCAGAGAGCTTTCAGAGATGCCATCCAATGTTTTTAGCTGACAAAAACCACAGCCCAGCATCAAACCACTTCCAATCTCCTAAAATCCTCTTAGTCAGAGCCTTCAGGCTTGAGCCTTGTGCCTCCAGGCAGAGATTCCTGCATGAAGTTTCATCACCTACACTATTGATGCTGACCATAAGGATAAGTTAACATTTCTCAAACAGTTCTGATGAACCCTGGAAAAATCTCTTGGTTGAGGCCAGGTAGGCTCTGCTCACAACACACAGACCATAGCAGAAATAATCCAGCACACGTGTGGGAAGAAGAAAGCTTTAAGTACATTCACATTATATCATTAAAAAAGTTTGAAAGTAGTTCACTTCCAAAATGGGTGGTGTTTCACTGGCCTGCAGCAGAGAAGGCAAGTAGAAATGCCTTCTTAGCTCCTTTTCAGCAAAACTGCCTGAGCACCTCTGCCCCAACCAGGACTAAAATCAAAGAGCTCTCTCACTGAGAAACTTCCAGCTACACTAAGTGGTAACTACAGGTACTATCTGCAACACATTTCAAATGGAAAGAAAGGATTGGAGGGTTGTGGCAGAGAAGCATTTATAACCCAAGTCCTGGGTGTCCTGTCAACCCTTACAAAGACTGATTTTGTTAATATGTAGAAAAACAACTTCTAGCAGGATCCTGGAGCCAAAAACCATAAGGATAATTCAATACCGCAGTTGTCTGAGATTCTGCAAATACAGCAAATACACTGTAAAGTTCAGCTTGCTTCTGCCATATCAAAAGCTGAGCGAATCAGGAGCCACCCCCGACAGCAGGCACAGCAGTACAGATTTAACATAACTATTAGAAAAAACCGTTAGCTACCTCGGGAGTGTCGATGTCTTGCACTGGTGAGTCACCATCGTCATCACTGCCTTTTCTCTTCCTTCTATTTCTCACACTCTGAATTAAGTTTTTGTGGAAGTCACAGATATAAAGGTGTCTCGCCTACAAGAGTAAGACCGCATCTTTCAATCAAACCCATGCAAGCTCCTCCCAGCCTTGCGGTATAGAGGCATCTACGGAGACATTCTTTCGGCAGCCTCGCTCACGCGGAGCGATGTGGAGAAGCTCTCCTGCCGGATTCCGCTGCACGGAGGCATTGTTATGCCGCGCGTTACCTCCAGCGACTCGGCCAGAGGACGGGGAAGCGCAGCGGCTCCCGGCTGACCCGGAGGGAACCGCGCGCAGCGGGGACACGCGCGCACGCAGCCCTCCCTCCAACCGCCCGCCGCAACTCGGGGATCGGCAAACAAACACGCACAAAAATCCGAAAGCCCACGGGAGGCAGGCGTCCTGCGGGAGGCAAAACGCCACCTCCTCCCGCTCCGCACGGCTTTACCTCCACAAGGTCAAGCAACACGCGGGCCGCTCCCCCCATGTCCTGGCTCCCCTGCGCAGGGCCGCACCGTACAGGGGCACCGAGCCCTCCGCGCCCGGGGCCCCGCGCCCACGGCCGCCGGGTGGGGCAGCGACGGCCCGGGTGTCCAGGCGGGACGGGGCGGCGGCAGCGCTGCGGGCAGGGCTAACCGCGGCGCGCTCCGGGAAAGGAAGGACAGGGAAACGGCGCTTCCCCGCCGCTAGCAACAACGAAAAAAAAAAAAAAAAGAAAAACGCAAACAAAAGAAAACACGCCAAAAAAGAACTTTAAAAGCCGCCCCCGAGCCGAGCCCGCTGCCGCAAGACTTACGCTCTTGTCCAGCTCGATCTTCACCTTCTTCTGCGAGATGCTCTTCTGGATCCTCTTGCTAAAGCTGGCGTTGCCGGCGGCGCGGCCGCACCGCTCGCCCTCCTCCCGCAGGCAGCACAGCTGCCCGGCCCCGGGGCCGCCCGCCCCGGC